TAACAAGCAAATCAAAAGTAATGAACGATAACAACTCTGTTAAATAAGTTTATTTTCTTAATATGGTGATTCATCTTAATCATTCAAAAGCTTACCGATTTCAGTCTTTTTCTTAATCTTTTCTGTCAAAATTTCTGTGATAATAATCGATTCTATTATTTATCATTCAACGTCTCTTGTTGTGGACTGGGTAGCAAAAACTACAATTTCTCTGAGAGATGTGAAGAAATAATCTACAGTATAGTTGTTTAATAAATGGTAGTTAGATTCTTTTCATAGTATATACCTAAAAGGTTAGATCTATTTAGAAAACTATTTACGACACAAAAAAGCTACTTAGTGAAGATATTTTGAAATTATATGGTTTATTTTCTTTATCATATTTAGGACAAAGGAACTAATGGGGAGTTCATAAATATTTATAACCTATGTAAAAATAATGTATACTGTGATGTTTACCAGATTTTGCATTATAAATTACACATTCAAATCAACTGTTATTTGGTTGGCTAGAAGTAGTGAAAATCTTCTCAAGGTCATTTTATCGGCCGCCAAAGTTCAACAGTATGTAATGGTATATACTTCTAACCTAAACTAAATCACGATATATCAAGACTATCTTCTATTCCTTGTGGTAAATAACTGTCTCATACCCAACATAGTTGAACTATCAATTATTGATAAATCCTACCTGAATAAATGTATCTTCCCGATTTATCAGTCGTTAAAGTTCCGGTGCCCTTTCCTTTTATAAAAAAAAGCCAAAAAGATAAATAACAGGTAAGTTCGTTGTTAATGTCTAACTTCAACTAATCCACAAAATTGAACGGCACATCCGCCATTGTTATCAAAAGAATATTTATGTGAACAATTGTTTTCATCATCAGACTCTACAGTTATAACTATTATGATATTTTACAAAGGCCAAAATAAGCTATGCATTAATGAATCTGACAATGTTATATTTTGAAAGTACTGAACTTTTACATCTGTTATGACATAAGTACTTAAATTGGAAAAGTTATTTCATAATTCATCTTCTTTCTTCCAAATCACTAAAAGTTACATTGATCAACCAAAAAACTTTTTAGTACACTGATATCAGTTATCTATTATGTTGATTTCTAATACTATTTTTAAGTCAGCAATTATTAGATAACTGAGAGTACAGTTTTTTTTATTTTCTTTGCCAATAAAATAACTTCTGCCAGGCGTTTGGTTCAGTATTCCATATCGTGTCGGACAAATTATTTTTTAAATTAGGAGGACGGAAAGCGAATATCCGGCGCTTTAACCGGGTTAGTGGATATGGAGGGTCCACTCAGTGGAGTTGGAAAACTTTGATTACAATCCAATGGTGTACATGGGCTCTAAGATCCTGAGTGAAAAAGTGGCGTATGCACGCCTCCCCCCCTGCGAGATCCAAATACTACGGGATTTCAGTATTTTATTGGAGGAAATATTCTTTTTAAAACTGCCTTTATGTCGTTTGCTTTTGAAAAGACACGCATAACAATTGACAAGATAAAAATAAACCATAATCATGGTGTTTTAGCTGTCACTATTTTTCCCACTTTTTGATTTCAGCCAATCATGAGTAAATATTAATTCAAGGTCATTTAGTGAAATATGCTAAGTGCTTACATGTATTTGCAACTTCTATTCATCTATTATATCAATATTAAAAAGATGTAGGATATGTTCTGAATCATCGATATAATTATGACAAAAAATTCATTTGACTTGGGAAAGAGGAATCTGTAGGTTAAGAATGTGTGTTATTGCATCAACATTATACTACACCATAAGTGCAAAAGAATGATATTTATGCATATGAACTAAAGTTTATTTTCCTCTTATCCCATATGAAATATAACTTTATCGATCGTTTTCCATGTAAACCGTATATGAAAAAAGGGTAACCAAAAACTGCAAAATTAAGAATAAGGTTAAAACCAAAAACCTAATTATCTACAAGACTAACCATTATAACTAGTTTAATATGATGTTCATTATCTAACAATGTGAGAAAGAATAACGTTGTTTATAGATTTGGTGACTGGTTTTCCCAACCACTTTGACACATATGCACAAACATGCCTTATTGTAGTCTTTGTAAAGTATCCCAATAATTGTTCGTTCATACATTCTTTGTCATTATATTTTTACATTAATCAATAAAATAAAAAATTATGAGGACTGCTGTTTTACAAGAAAGAAACAAAACGAAGAGAGGTTCAATAGTAAGTCAACTATTGTCATCAAGTGAATTTTATACTTGGATGTTTAAAAATTGGCTGAATTGATGTAAATAATGTATTATTTAAATAAGAACTTTCGTCTAAATTTGATCGAATAATTTCACAGTATTTGGGCACCGAGTTGATGTGAGACATTAAAGAGAAGAATATATTTGTAAAATTTCAGAGAATGAATTCAAAGTAAGTCAAACGTTTTGCCTGGCAATCTGGTACAAGCTTTCCATGAAAAAGATTGGATCAGATTGACAGGCTGAAAGTTGAATTTACTTCGAATTCATTGGCTGAGATTGTACAAATATATTCTTCCTCTTTAACGTATTATTTATTTATGAATCACATTAATATAAGATTTTTTGGTTTAAAATATCTTGTTACTATGTGTTTAATAACTTCTACCTGATGAGGCAGGTGGTTTTTTAGTAGTAGTCGTCTGTGCATCAATCTTCGTCACTATGATTAAGAAAAAGAGTGAAAAATAAACACAGTTTAAAGATAACAATTAAATATAAAAATAACATTCATAAGAAAGATTGAGAAGCTCTTGTATGTTTTATAAAATATAAAGGTTTACCTATTTTCATTTGTCATCCAGTACCATTCAATATATTTATTCAGTATTTGTATAGATATAACAAGCGATCCAACGAGATTCATTAGATAATGTATCATTTGAGAGATCCAATTTTCCAGTGTTTTTTAGTTAGTATTTAGTCTGATAGGCAATTTCAAAAATGTACATGCTCCTCTTTGAGCATTACATAATGATCAAATCTCGGCTGAATAATTACAGTACACTTGTATTGACGGAACACTTAAAGACCAGACAAGAAGAAAATTCAGATGGTAGAACACACCAAAAGATGCAAATTGACAATTGAAGGTTATGTACATGTAAACGCTTCGTGGCTTCTCACAATATATATGCATACCTCCTGCTAATATTGTCGTATTTTACACTTTTCAACATGCATTGGCACCAATAATATTGTTTGAAAATAAGAATTCCTACATGAAATGATGGGCAGTGTTGAAGTAGCAGTTGTCGATACGTTGTCTCGTATTACTTTTGTGAAATAAATAATAAGACTGCATTTATAATGAAAGTAACAGATTAACATAAAACCATAAATTATGAATTATTTTCTAAGCAAACTATAATCTCCATAGAATTATTTCTTTCTTGGCTGTGCTCACTTGCTTACTCTTGTTACCCCTCGTGGAGGAGCATAAGCCGACTATCAGCATTCATCATCCAGCTCTGTCCTTAGCAACACTTTACAGTTGTTTTCAGTTTCTATTGATTCTTTCCACGTATTCTTCCAATCATTGTTCGTTGGATTACCTCTTTTCCTCTTCCCTTCGGGATTGCAAGTTAGAGTTTGTCACGTCATGAACTTTGGTGGTTTCATCAATGTATGTCCTATCCACCTGTAATGTCTTCCCTAATTTCCTTTTCAGCTGCAAGTTGATTTGTTCCTTGTCACAGTAGGCCATTGTTAATGGTATCTGGCTAACTGATCTGGAGTATCTTGTGTAAACATACCCTTTTAATGACGGTTGTGTTTACAATAACGATAAGTTTTATCCATAAGATTATAATTCATGTGTACATTAACTGTTAGATTAAATGTTATCGAGACATGAACACCTCTCCGAAGAAGGGGCTTACACTGAGTTACGAAACTTCAGGAAATTTGAAAGCTTGAGTTTCCAGCTCTTTGATAGCCTCTCTATCAAATGTGATTCGATTGATGTTCTCCGTGTTATATTTGAGGATTTTTCCTTTTGCTTTATATATGATTGAACCCTATTCAGAGACCTATTACACTGGTTGTCTTTATCTCAATTTGTTGATGTGTATGGGATAGAATAACTAGGTCATCTGACTGTACTAACAGATATAAACATAATAATTTAATTTGTAAATTACACAGATTTATTTATTGTTAATAACGTTGTATAATGTTGTAATTCATTATTCCATTACCATCCACTAGCGTTATACCATAACTCTACTTAGTTACAACGTAACCGAAATGTAAATAGCAACCAAACTGTAATTTATCTCAAATTGAAATCTTTTTTAAACTTGAACAGAATACATTTTATCACAATAATTACTATGGACGTGATTTAATGATTATAGCAATTAGAAAGATTTAATTCAATTAGGATATATTCCTATTCAATGATCAAATAAATAATTAAAAGTAATTTATATGAAGTAACCTGAGGTTACTTTAGTTTATAACAGTTTAAAGCGGAAAAAAGAGACCGTTCATAGTAGTTACCTGAGATGATACCGATTACAGAATACACCGTAATGCAAATTACGAAGGATAATCTCATATTCTAGTTGAAAGAAAATGTGACTTGGTAAAGTGTTTTCTTGTTCTTCTTTTCTGTTGTTGCTGATGATGTTTTGTCAGCTATGATTATTTATTTGTGGATTACTTGGTTATGAAGGGTTATGAATAGTTTGTGTATAAACCTACTATTTATAATCTTAGATTTATCTTAGATTTAATGAATAAATGATTCTATGTCAAAGATGTCGATTGTATAAACTGGATTTATGTTATTTAATCATGTATTAACATTATGATTATGATTATTATTATTATGGATTATATGGGTATAGTTGCATTTAATCAATTTTTGAGTTTAAGTCAATTTCCATGGAGAAGTGAATGTCGTGAACTAAGTTAATGATATACAGTAGTACTGAAACATTAGGTATTAACATAGATATCCATTTAATTGATTAAAAAAAGTCATATGGTATATTTGAATAAAACATATTGAATAACCATCAGATATAACACTTGTAGTTTGTAACCTTTTGTAGAGTAATGTGGCTATTTGTCCTCCCAGATATAACCTTTGTAAATAAAAATAAAATTTGTCTTACTGGTCACTAGTTAGGTGATCTAATTTTAACCAATGACTTTGATTAAGACAATTAAAACAATATCGAGGCAATACACACAGTATACACATATGCCAATAAGAGACTGATCAATTGCAGTCCCAAATATCAATGGGAAGATTCAAGTAGATAATACCAAGTGAATTTAAACTTCATCCGATTGCACAAGCAAGTGGCTATCAAGAGTCATTAGTTAAATGAAGCGAACAGTACTGGGTTCGAGTTTTAAAGTGAACATCACTTCCGAGATGCAGGTACATCCAGCTGACGAGTGTTGAATAGGACGAAACGCGCGTCGTGGACTGCACTCCTAGCCATTAACCATCTATGCTACAACTTTTTTTTGAAATACGTTGTTTTTGATCGATGGCAGAAAAATTTGACCTAAGGCCTCTTCGCGGCACTGCTGAGTAGTAGGGAAAACCTTGCTAGCTAACTTGGACGGTCTATGATGATTCGATTAATTCACCACTCTGTTATAAAAACTGGATTAATTGAGTTATAACTTGAGGCTCACTAACTCTTGCGGGATGCCCGATGTATATGATAATGTGGACGAATTACATGAGTCTCTGCTTATGTATTTCATATATTGAGGTATATGTAATGGGTGCGCTCGTGGCCTCGCAAAAAGAAACGTTAGCCGAAAAAGTTTCTGCATTATGTCTAACATCTTCAATATCAGGGATACCTTTAGTGAAGGAAGTAAACAGTAAAATGTTTTAAATCCAAGAGATTTTTAGAATGATAAGAAAATGTTAAGTTAACCTTTAAAAGTTGAATGTTTTGATTACGCATTCATCAATTTCTCAACCGTATATTTATAAAAAGTCAGAATTAGAAAGACAAAAACTGCTTAATAATTTAATAAAAAACGGAAACATTTACCCTTCCAGATGTGCGAATATAACTATGTTTATTCCATGGGATACATGGGTGAAAACTTGTGTATTACCGGTATGCATACAGCCTATACTAGTCCACATCAATATCATCTGGTATACCATCACAGTCATGATCGTTTATATTTCCAATAATTCGTACTGGTTTCGATTTTTGTGTAGATTGTTTAGGGTTTTTATTTGTTGGAACTGGGGCTTGACATTTATCTTGTGACGGACAGATAAATCACACCAACTTTACTAGATAAGGCTTTACCAACCTTAAATGGCTGGAACACCGTACCACAAACTTGTCTGGTTTTTTGACTGGAAGCTGACTAGAAGAAGGTTTGTCCTTGGGTTGTTTTGTTTTAGAACTTTCAGATAATTTGGATGATGGTGTTTTAGAAATGGTCTTTACATGTGTTTCTGTTTTTGATGGAACTTTCTTATTCTTTGTATGTCCAGTAGCCGTTTCCGAGTGAGACTTGGATTTAGATGAAGTAGTAGGAGTTGTTGTTTTAACTGCCATTAATTTCCTTACAATATTGGTATTATGATTTTGTCACTGTTATAATAGATATATATTTATTGTTTTTTGTAAATAATAACCGATCTGCGTATATCTTCTGTGTAAACCATCTTTTTCGTTTAATTATACTACCAAGTGGAATTGGAAGTTATGTGTGTAAAATAATAGTACTAAATACTTGAAAATTATTATCTTTCTGATTAAGGATAGTATGTCGTTTAATTTAACCATTGTAGTGGGATATTGACAAGTTTTCGAATCCTGGACAAGGATTTTGTTTTGTTTGTGATATCTAGATGTGCATGCCTCTCAATACTAAATAAATTATGTATGTATTGTGAAGAAAAATAATTTCATAGAATTCACTATTAGCGGTTGTTTTAAGATAATACTGAAATGTAGATTTAAAAGGATTTCGATGGAGTTTTGTTCTTTGAGCAGGAAGGTTTGATCGTCAAAAGTGACTAGCCAATTTCAATATAAACACCTATAAATTCGATACTTTTTTTTAATGATCATGAATACCGGGAAATGTAATTAGTACATGAAGAAAGACATGTTTTCACACAACGTAATGTGTATGTCCAATTGATGGAGAAGGGTTCAATATCAATAGATAGAATTTTTTAGTTCAGATCATTACATTTAGCTACCTAGACATTATTTGAAGGCAATTGGTCCGGGAATGCCGTTTCATCCTATTGTGGGACTCCTTAGCAGTGAGCAGTAGAACGAAACAGCTAATAAGGATCATCTCAATACAATTTTAAAGTTTCCAATTAAAATTTATTCTAAGTGTTCAATACAAAATTAAATTATCTATTATTAAATAGATTTCTTTATCATATTGCTATTTTATGGAGTTGAAATATATGTCAAGCGGAGGGTTCTTTAAATTATTAAAATTAATGGCATTATATTATCTGTTAAACATTAAATGGAATAACAACTGGAAGGAAATGGAAAGGGTTGGATGGAGAATGCTGGTGAGCGGCCTATGTTAAAATTTGCATTTTCACATTTGAATTCAGTAATTACGTAAGTAAACATCAAATGACATGAATAAATCAAAATTATATATATAGGGAAGAAAAATGATCAGTACCTATGATATATTCCTATGATAAGAATGACTATACCATACTATAAATAAAAAGAAATCAGATTTCCATTTTAGCGTTTCCATGTATTATTTTAACACATCTTCTGCGGACTAAAAATTACATATCCATCTAAATATCAATGTAATACAGTATTAAATAATCAAACTATGCCATGGAAAATGTCATATTCAGTTAAACATTGTCAATACTAAGGTAGAAAAATAATTTAAGAGAAAGAACCAAAGAATATTTATCTATAGGGGTTACTTGCAAATGGTAATTTTCAATAAAATGGATGTGTTTCGTTTCGCTTTGAAAAGGTTTCGACAATAAATGAAATATTGTATTCATGAGTATAGTAGTCCATAGTTAAATAAGTAGTTTTCAACTATATATTGTCTAATTTAAAATGTTCCAGCATGCATCCCATTACATGTTGAATTCACAATCCTTTGTTTGTAAAACACTGATAATTGGAAAGTTTTATGTACAATTGGGTACATGTTTAATTGGTTGCTTGAGTACTTGTTAGTAAGTGAGCGTTTAGAATGAGAAGATTAGAGATAATCAACGTGCACATATATGTTAGATGAATTTGGAAGGAAACTAGGATATATCTACTACAACTATCATCAGTATTATTATCATTCCATATTCCACATTTTGACTAAGCTTACCAGGAACTATTTCGATTTAATTCTTCAGCTTCTGAATGAAAATCACTGTAATCAGGATCATCAACATCTTCATAACCTTCTTCAGGTGATATTTCCAAATCTAAATCTTCTGGTTGATCATCTTCACTTTCTTCTTCAATATCATTATCTGGATCAAAATCATCAGTCTCATCATATTCATCATCTTCAAATTGCAGGAGCCGCGGATTATCTTTTTTTATTGTTTGAGGCATCCTGCTGATGTTTATGAAAATAAGAATCACGAACCGCTTAATGGAATAATGTCGCCCTTTCATTATTTCTGATAGCTAGTACTTGATAATCATCATCATTATCAAGTTTGGAGAAAAGGTGATCGTAATCATAGTCTTCAACATCGTCATTACTCAGCTTCTTATTCGTATTCTCATTTATTGATGGTTGACCCTCTTGAATAGATTTTTTGCAGCCTGGTTTTAGTACTTTGATTTTTGATACAAAAATAACCGTGAGATAAATAGTATTTGTTCTAGTTGACCCATCTTTTTTCTCTCTAATACTATCTTCATAATCTTGGTTTCCCCACCAGCATCATCAGCATGATTATCATCATCAATGCTATCATCACTATCATCAGCCATCATTCGTCTAGAGTAACCCTACCTGTTCTTCTGTAATCTTTTCACTTTTTGGTTCATTATGTTTTACAAGATGATCTTTACTTATTTGCAGTTTTTTATTCAAAGCTTTAACATCAGCTTTTAATTTGTTTTTATGTATTTCAGGTATATTTTTTAGATTTGGGAGTTGTTTTTTATTTTCATTGGTGACTTATTAACTCAAGCTGAAGGATCACAATTTTGTTTTATTACATTGTAATTACATTGAACTAACAAACTCACTGGAGAATCAGTTTTGAAATATTCATAAGTCTTATTATTTCTTGATGTTAAACAGTGACAATTAGAATTTGAAAAGAAGTAATAACTGAACTATTTGTACACTATGATTTTTATATCCTATATAGTGTCCAACATTAGTGAAGTACGGTAATAACACTTGTTTGGTTGTTAGGAGTGAAGCTGGAGATATATTGATAAGTCAGCTAGAAGAATTGTTCACAAATGAATAATCCTTTAAAAAAATTATTATATTATTGTAGCTATTAGTAACCAGCTTCAAATTCGTTGACTAAGAAATCTTAGTGGAAACTTCTAGTTATAAAGTCAAAGTACTTTATTAAATGGTCTTTCTTCGTCATTGTCAATCGAAAATGACAACGCCAAAGTGACAGAAGTTGGTAATATAACATAAGTGATCGAATATTACTGTGCATTTTGCGATAGTTGAATGCTTAAACATTCATGATCTATGAATACTTGATTGTGTATTTCTAAAGTGTTTCAATATATGACAATCTCCACTGAACATTAAGAAGATGACAAACCACACATGAACAATCGAATTGAAAATGAACCAAGAGTACTGTCATAAATGAGGAGATATCATCATATCACTTAGATAAGTATGCTTATGAATACTTCTCATTTAATGACTAGAACTGACTATTTCCCTAAATAGATTTGTTGAACAGCACAATCCAAATTACCAACAACAACAAAAAATAACGGTAAAAATTACTCCAATGCTTTTAGGGTAATGTAGTCACCATGCATGGAATGACATAATAATGTCTAATTCTTTTAATCAATCATTAAATCGACTAAATGGTCAAAAGTTGATAAATTAATATAATTTACAATGTGACAGAACTATATGGACAGCTTTCAATGCTTATACATAAAGTTAAACTGTTTCTAAAACTGCCAACACATTCGATCAACAGGGAATCGATTTGACAGTCAACTAATAGAAAAGAAAATCATGGTATATAAACAATGGTGAATAAGTAGCGAAAAAAAGGAATTTTCGGTATTCATTTGATAATAATGCATACTATCTACAACTTATTCCAGTGGTTACTATGGATATGTTTTATTTATACACTTTTGAATTCTGATCTTCATGTCACTGCAGGTAAGCGATTTGATAAAAATATCTTTTATGTTCTATTTTCCAATTGTAATATTTTCTTTTGACTAAAATAACCGATTGTTCACAAGTTTTTAATTCATACTAAAATATTATTCTATTTCACTCGCTGAAAAGAAAGCTACTGTTTTAAGCAAAGAGGAATAGTGGTTAGCAGTGGAATCCAAGACGCGCATTTCATCCTATTTGAGACTCGTCAACTAGGTGTGCCTACAGCTCAGGGTTGATGTTCACTCTGGGACTCGAACCCAGTACCGTTCATTCTAAACGCTATCACCTTATCCATTTAGCTACTGAGTCCTGATAGCCAATATCGAATCAATACACACAGTATACACATATGCCAATAACAGACTGATCAATTGCAGTGCCAAATATGAATGGAACGATTCAAGTAAACAATACTATGTGAATTTAAAGCTACTATTAGTTTTCTATAAAACTATCGTCATCTGCTGTTATCAGGGTAAAACGATGATAGACTTGAATCCGGTGTCCATATCAAGTAAAGTATTAATAATTGGATTTATTGTTAGGATATTTTACAGATTTTGAATATACAAATAAAATACTTAATTAAAGAAATTTGAGATAAAAGCTAGAATTTATTTACTCTAACGATTATCATCTACTTTCAGATTATCCCATCGTTATTATCTTTAAACAAATTACGAAGTAAAATTATACTACAGTTCAATCAACCACTATACAATAGCACATTTAAACGATGGTATAATTTTCCCAGTACTGCATTCAATCTGAGGTGATCGATCAACTTTGAATGTCACTTTAAAACCTTACACTTATACAATGATAGGTAAAATGCTAGTAGAAAATAAAGATCAACATATGAAGATCATACATTAAAAACTTCATTCGCACATTATCCACCAGTTGTCTCTTACTAACTTTATCGTCCTTTCATTCTTGTTATTATTACAATTACACCCTGTTTACATTCCTGTTCTCCTTAGTGCGGTCTTCTTAATTGTCTGCTGTCAGAATTTTCACTTCTAATTGGTGGTACATACTACTTATATTTGTCAATATAAGTAGCATACACCACACCTGTACTGCTGTGAATGGGAACACAAGTGGCGGATAACCAATGTATTTTAACATGGAAAAACACAATATCTTGGTAAAATATGCGAACCATACACTGAATACTTCATTTTCAAATTCATATCACTTGTCTTTCACATTCTCTAGGATTCTTTCGATTTACAATTCTTTTCGAATTCCGATCCTATTCTCATCAAGTCAACCTTCATAGCCCTCTGCTGCCAAGTTTTCCAATATTGACGATAATAGCAAATCCGTTTCGTTACTATTTATATCGATAGGCATAAATAACATTCACCACGCTATTGTTAATTTATACTCTTTAATGTTATTTATCATAATGAGTTGTATAATCCATTTAATTGTTATAGTTAATCAACAATGTCATATATATAAAACTATTTATGAATTATAAACTGCAACATTCACTTAATTAATATTTTATTATTTATGTTTACGGTAAAGGTAGGCTAAAGGTAAAAACTGGTGGTGATGAAACTAGTTCATTTGTGGAAGAAGAGACGGGTAAGATAAATTTTACCAGATATATATTCTGAATTGAATAGATTGGAGTGACTGGAATACAATAAAGGAGTACAATATTTCTGGAACTGGAGGCAAACAAGAAAGAACAATGCAGTTCACAGTACCTCAAGGTGAAATGTAATAAATTAATATGTTTGTTTTCATATTGCCCAAATAGTTCTGCGTTCTTTTTCTCGTAATCTAGCTAGTATTAGAAGGTAATTATCTACAACATAAGGTTAATTTTCATCACAAATAAATATTAGTTGGAGAACTGTTAAAATATAAAGAACAATGTAAGCAGAAATAGATGGTGGCTAGCAGTAGAGTACATGACGTGCGTTTCGTCCTACTTCGAGATCAAAAGGCTGGATTCCACAAGAATCGGTCGTGCACAGACCGAATCGCGACGCTACGATCATCGTCGAACAGTATGTTATCCACTTAGCTATCGAGTCCAGTTAGTCACTAGCTTGTGTAATGGGGTGAAGTTTTTATTCATTCTGTTTTGGTTGTTTGAATCATACAATTAATGTTTAGGACTGAAATGGTTGTTTGGGGAATTTTCATTAGTATCATTTTACAATTTCATACGTAATTACACTCAATACTTTCAAGTCCCACTTCAGATGACGTGCTATCCTTTCATCAAAGTCCAAATGTCCATATATTTGAGTATAGCTAATCTATGATAGTCAACTCTGATCTTTTAATAACTAGTATGATATTTATCATATATCTATCAGTATTTACTTCTATTTTACATGAATCAAACCACCTCAAAGGTTAACATGATGGTACAGGATAATCATACAAAATTCCTAGTATATAGTTGGATGAAACTAATCAATGTCCTAATTTATTTTCCGTTATTATAGAAAAAGGATGGGAAGTTTTTACAGAAATCGAGAGTGAAGAAACCATAATACCACGTACTATAAAAATTACCAAAGCACCACATAAAGGTAAGTCGTATTACTGTCCAACTGAAAATAATATTTTTCTTTTATAAATTATGTAATATGTTAAATATGTCCTTACAAAACCTCTTTAATGAAAAAATACACTTTCGTATGGATAATTTCTTTTGAAATTAAATAATTAACATTCATCATCAATGATAAACTCCATTAGTTAGTCTGATTTTTTATTCGTCAGTCACCTGATTACCATTTTCGCCAAGATTTGAATTATTCAATGTAATTACGTACTTAGTATTTTATAAATTATAATCAGAGGGGATTTTGTGGATATTATAATAATTTTAATAGTTAGATTCATGAGTCATGTAAAGCTAAATTACCATCGTAAACCTGAAAGCACTGGACCACCGTTACGTCTCAGTATGGGACTCCTCAGTAGTGCGCACCCATCTTACCGCCTCGCGGGATTCGAATCCAGGACCTACCAATCTCCATCATTCTCTTCAGTGAGTTACTATCTCACAACAGACCCGGTTGAACTTCACTGGTCTCTGTTTTTTACTAGAACTCCAGGAGACACCTGTTGAAGCCAGTCATTAGTGAACATATGATGATTATAATCAGGACTGATAGGTCCTCGGTTCGAGTTTCCCGAGATGGGACCGTAGATTCTCACAGCCTAAGAGTTC